TCTGTCCCTGTTGGAGTGGTCTGCAAAAAGCACTGAGCCAAAGTTCCAGGGAACACACCAGGAAGTGTTTTGGCACTCTTTTCCTCTTTTTCCTTGTTCCCTGGAAGAGGGAAGAATTACTGAAAAAAGCCTAAACTTTCTTGAATAGTCCATAAAATGTAATTCATGGTGGAGCTGTAAACCCAGTGAACCCAATGTTTAAATGGTTCCTTTCTTGGTTTATTTTCCACAGGTCTTCACCCTCACAATGTCAAGGAGTGTTAATGATGTGTTCCCTCTCCATTGCATTCCCCACCTGTCATCTTGCTAGGATCTAACAACAGAATGAACATAGCAGCTGTGTTTAATGCCCTGCTCGTATCTGTCCTCGCTGCCGTGCTGTGGAAATACTTCAAACTACGAGAGCATGTCTTCATGGTCGAAGAGGAGTTGGTCCTTACACGTCAGTCTCAGGAACTCTCTCAGGTTCAGATTGATTACCACGAAGCTCTGCAGGCACTGGTGGAGGACGGTACCAGGATGGTGTGCACTGGCAGGATGCACACTGACCGCATCTGCCGCTTTGAGTCCCTCTGCTACTCTACTGAGGCTGAGGAGTTTATCTACTTTCATAGCAACTCCTCGGTCATGCTGCCCAACCTGGGCTCCCGGAGGTTCCAGCCGGCTCTGCTCGACCTCTCCTCAGTGGAAGATCACAACACCCAGTACTTCAACTTTGTGGAGCTGCCAGCTGCTGCGCTGAAATTTATGCCAAAGCCGGTCTTCGTGCCTGATGTGGCACTGATTGCTAACAGGTTCAACCCAGACAACCTGATGCACGTCTTTCATGATGACCTCCTCCCCATTTATTACACCATGCAGCAGTTCTCTGATTTAGGTCTGGAGGCACGGCTCTTCTTCATGGAAGGGTGGAGTGAAGGTGTTCACTTTGACCTCTACAAGTTACTGAGTAACAAGCAGCCGCTCCTCAGGGAGCAGCTTAAAACCCTGGGCAGGCTCCTCTGCTTTACCAAATCATATGTAGGACTGTCCAAAATTACCACCTGGTACCAGTACGGATTTGTCCAACCACAAGGGCCGAAGGCTAACATCTTGGTTTCTGGTAACGAGGTCAGGCAGTTCACCAAATTCATGATGCAGAAGCTGAATGTCACCATGGAGGAAAGCTCCAGTGAGGAGTACATTGTAGTGTTCAGTCGAACAATCAACAGACTTATCCTAAATGAGGCAGAACTAATCCTGGCTCTCGCGCAGGAGTTTCAGATGAAAACCATTACTGTCTCTCTGGAGGAGCATTCGTTTTCTGACATCGTCCGGTTGATCAGCAATGCGTCCATGCTGGTCAGTATGCATGGGGCCCAATTAGTCATGTCTCTCTTCCTGCCAAGAGGTGCCACAGTGGTGGAACTCTTTCCTTATGCTATCAACCCTGAACACTATACCCCTTACAAAACCCTGGCAACCCTTCCTGGCATGGACCTTCAGTACATTGCCTGGCAGAACACTGACAGGGAAGACACCGTTACGTACCCGGACAGACCTTGGGACCAGGGTGGGATTGCTCATCTGGACGAAGCTGAGCAGGAGCGCATCATTAAGAACACAGAGGTGCCGCGGCACCTCTGCTGCCGC